TGGGGGAGGGAGGGAGGAAGGGAGGGGAGTGGGGGAGGGAGCGAGTGTATATGTGTGAATGTACATGTACGATAGTGTGAATGAGTGTGTGTTTGTTCTGTGTGTATTAGTGAATTTGAGTGTGTGTGTCTTTTTTTCTTTAGGGGTGGGGGGGTCTGGATGTTGGGAACAGGGGGCAGGGCAAGCAATCCATGGCAACATTCATTGAGTTCTTCTAAAAATTGTGGGGAACAAACTCAAACAGCGTACTCTCTGGCTTCACTAGTCCACTTTTGCATTGTTTCTTTTTATAAACTTAGCCAATTTAAGGTTGATGGATTGCCTCTGAGATATTTGTGTCTGTCAGCATTAAAAATGTTCTCTGATCATATATCCGGCACTATTTAAATGGTATACGTTCGCATATTGATATTCAGTCGGGCATAGAAAACATAAACACTCAAAATACGACATAACGGTTTGTACAATATGCCATACCTTGACGTTAAAGGCAGAAGATATTGCAAAGGAACTTGCCTTTGACTTCACATGCAACAGACGGTTGGACAGGTTCAAAAAGAGACACGACATCACTCAAAAACCTGTGTGAGGCAAATCTGCTATAATAAATCCTTAACAGTGATTATAATTTTCCAATCATAGTACATTTACAATTACTTCCCATGGTTTCCTTCAATATCTCTCTGATTTTTCGTTTTATCAGTTCACCTGAATTATGAATGTGTCAAACACATGGTCAATCTCTGATGCTTTTGAATTATCTGTGCCCGACTGTAGTTCTAAACAGTTTATGACGAAAGGCTGCTCCAAACAAAATTTATGACAATTGTGTCAAACTGAGAAGAATGATCAAACGCGGTGAGCTAAATGCGTGAGACATGATGCCCTCAACCTTTGCAGACAGTCATTCAGAGAAATCTGTTACAAATGTGTTCATAGTGAGAGTTTTTGACCAATAGTGGACTTCAATTGACCTACAAGAAACTGACTACATTTTAATTATTTATACTTATTCTGATTCTTCCGTTTGACCCAAAACGAAAATACTTTCACTTAAGAACATCCAGTGAGAGTGAGACCAGATCAGGTACATTAAAAAAAAAGCACAAAATAATTCAAAGACAATACTGTTCGAGGGAAGAGTTGGAAATAAGAATATAAAATTACAAACCCTTTGAAGCTCCTAGAAAGAAGATACATTCAATATAAGAAAAGGCAAATGAAACTCAGCAGAAAAATAGCAAAACAACATGGAAAAGATAACATACTCTGAAATAAACTGAGGGGTTTGAAATTATGACAGAAGAACTGCGGAATAACATTGACAAAATGAAATATAATATAGTTCGCACAAAACAATCAGAGAATTAAAATAAACTGGGAGTCAAAAAATGTTTAACACAAACACTTGAATGTTTGGTACACCAAAGCGCATATTTCTTAGCTAACAGCTCCTGTTTCATGTTCAATTACACTTTGTTATTTTTCCAGTTTGCTAAAGCCCACCGTCTTCAGTGACAAGAACCAGGTTCTACGAGAGCATCAAAACTGGATAATCTAAAACTGACAGATTTGGAAAAGAAATTTCCGGCAACCTTTCGTCAAACGGTTGATGGGAGCATTGCTGTGGGTCCAGATGAAATATGCAGCAAACCAGAAGGATAATGCTCTCGTCTCGCCGTCATGAAAAAATTTCCAGATGGACAGAAGGTTTTATGCAATAAACAGGCAGTGACAGCAAGACAGCACTAGTGATAATTCTCATAGGGTCTTCTTGACACACATAGAGAACACAGGACACTCCGAACATAACAGTTTAAGGAATTTTTACTCTCTCTTGCTAACTTGCACAAGCTTTTTTATTGTGCAAGGTGTTCTCTACATTTTCTGCCTTAGACATAATTATACAGAGAAAAGTAAAAGGAGAAGACTCCCATTAGCATGTCCACAAACTATTAATCTTTTAAGCCATAGTTATTACATTATAAAAGATTCCTCTAAATGTACATTTATATTTTTATCTAATCACATACTTAGTATGTTCAAATGCCACATTGTAGCTTCAAATGTACAGTAAGCAGCTTTTCTCTGTGGCATCATATTAAATGTTTGCAACTTTTGACTTCAAATGTGACATCATTTTCCAGTTCAAATATCACATTTTAACTTTAAACATCCTCAAAACTCTTGTTGGTCTCTTAAATGCTTCTTTTGGAAACACACCATAATGATGGTTAGTTTAGATTGAAAGACAAATGCAAGTGTTGATCCAGAGACACCCAGACCCATGAAAAATTGCCACAAAGCCAGCCCAAAATTAAAACATTAGTTGAGAAAACAAAAGGCATTTTCTAAATGAATTACAGGAGAGAGTTGGGGTTACCCGTACAAAGAGCTTGTCTGCTCAACCCTACTAAGATGGAAGTAGCCTTAAGAGGCATGCACAACTATTTGCATGTGTCTTTGGCAAGGGGAGATATTTTTATGTAAATTTTCAGAGAGCAAAATTACTGTTTACCATAAACTGTCGGCCTACCTTCGTTTTAGCCTCTCATTTATGAGGTGTTACATTTGAAGTAGTTATGTGGCATTTGAGGAGTGACTTTTTTACATTTGAAGTTTATAAATCCACATCTGATCCTTCTACGTTTATATTTGACATTATTCAGTGGCATTAGAAATTACAATGTGGCGACCAATTGAAGATACAATGAGGAATTGGAAAAATATTAAGTGTGTAATTGATCAGGAACAAAACCAACTGTATTAGAGGAAACGTTGCAAGTGGGGCTGAGGTAAGTTTAGTTTTAGTAGGAGTTTCACAGCACTAGCAACACCACAAAAAAGTCAGATAAGTGCCGAAGATTGGAGGTGTTACTAGAGAGTAACATAAAATGAAAAGAAGAAGGAGAGCAGGAGAGATAAGGTTGATAGATGTTTGATAGGAAAGAAGGAGCAAACCACACCAAAGCGTCTGCCGACCACCTTTAGAGGGGCTGAAAGGATTCAACTGAAATAGACGTTAGCAAATTTCTCTGAAAACTGTTTCTTTTTGTGGAGTGATAGACACAATATCCAGAAGTAAGTAATACCCAGTTCACACTACCAATTGGATTTGCTGGATCCAGTCTGAGACAGCCAGATTTTCCTTTACGGTCAGGCCAAAAGCTACCATTTTGGCACAATACAACAGATTCGTCTCACAACCTTGAAAAACAAATGCTTTTAATATAAAAGGTCACAGTCGAATCGAGTAGAATTCGGTCATAGAGTGACAACAAGGAAGTTTTTGCCCAATCCAAAATTCTGGCTGGCCGCCACTCAGTCCGATGAATCTGACGGGTAGAGAGCACAGGGTATAAGGAAACAGTTACAAAGAAAGCTGGTGAGGATATGTGGAGTTAAAAAAGGTAATATGCTTTACACTGACAGGCAACCTCACACTGATTTGTTAAGTACGCAGGCACTCACTTGACAAGGTGGAAATGTTCAAAGTCAAACCAGAACACCACTCCAAAGGCAAAGAGGTTCGAACACTGAGCCATCAGACTGAGGGGGAGAAAACATACAGGTGAATCATTCTCATAGGACATACACAAAAAAACCACACTGGTCAACAGAGATACAGTGACATTAAGAGGTCAAATTGGAAAAGTTTTACTTTGGGGAAAAAACGAGGTTAAAATTCTCAAATCAGTGCTGAATCAAGCCATTTACAATGACATAATGGGTATAATGGTACAAAATTATCAAAGACATATATTTGTAAGACTATTCTATTCTCTTCTTCTAAAGCCAGATTTAAAACAAGACATCTGTGATTATGATTTTCCTCTCACATCTTTGCTTGAATATTATCCCAATCTTTTTCCTTATCACCCATCTGTTCAAGTTCTTCTTAACCCTTTGATCCCTCATCACTGGTACACCGGTGGTGCGTAAAACTGCCCCTATGCCTAGTCACTGGTACAGCGGTGAGCGAGACCTTATCCCAAACCAGCCTGCATGGAAAATTAATAGTGCAGTGTAAATGGCTGTAAGCTGTATTCTTGTAAAGCAAGAAAAAAATCAAAATATTTGAGTAAAATTGAAATTTTATTATAAAAAAAAATATTGCAATGATTCTGTCAAATTCATAATGATGGGAAGTCCTGCCAATCATCATCATCATCATCACCAAGTGTCAAATCTACGACAGACATCAGCGATCATGGTTCTCCATCCATTCCTTTGCTCGGATGCTCTCAAAAAAGAGACATTACCCTGTTCTTTCCCTGTCGTGCATCTGTTTAGGCTCTTCGAGTATGTTGCTCTCGGTCCACCCTTGCCTCATTTGCCTTCAATTTTGCCAGTGACAGCTTGACATTCAAGACCTTTATGTCCATTCAAGTGTCTCAGAAACTGCATTTGTCTTTTCCTGATAGTCGTTAACTCTTTATCTCTGGCAAGTCGCTCACAGGGGCTCGAGGTCAGAACCACTGTGCCTGTGAGCCGCTGGGGAAGATTCCTTTACGACGACTTTGACATCAAATTACTTTTCGGCAATTGCCGAAAACAGGTCTCTTATACCAGAAGTTCATTCAGTAGATGAAGAACTATAAAAATAGGTTTGCTAGTTTCGATTCAATGACCCATTTAATGACGTTTTCATCATTTTTAGATTTAGCACCAAAAAAGGGCCCCGGCGTAGTGGGTTTACCCCCCTCGGAGATGAAGAGTTAATCAGCGAGCAGCCCACATGGGCTTCTTCGAGTACAACCCCATTTGATTTCTTTTCCTTCCAAGATATTCTCAGCAGTCTCCTAAAAACCACATTTATGCCAATATGCGAAGATAATTATAGGCCATCGGTCAGCCCCCACAGAGCCCACTCACCTGGTGATAGCTAAACTGCTTAGATGTCTCAAAAGTGTCAACAGACTAAGAGGAGGCAGCAGGATAAGCAGCCACTGACCCCTGGGGATACAAATAATAATAATAATAATGATGATCATCATCATAACAACAACAACAATAATAATACAGTAGTCTCCGCCTAAGATCCCTGTGTTCGGGAGCAAGGAAATGCGGGATCTTAGGCGAACCGGGATCTTAACTGACGAACCCAGGGAAGAATCTATGGTGACCCATGCTAAGGCTCACAATAGGTACAATGGTCTCCCTCCACTCTAAAATGAACAGACGTGACCCCTTGGTGGGTTTATGACGTATGGCGAGCAAAGAGTGGTTAACCTTGGTGAACTATCACAGTGCATAGTGGGATGACGCGTGCCATTTTCACTTTTTATCCTATCATGAGTCTCAAGATCTTTGCGTATCCAGAGTTGCCCCTCCCCCTTACCTGTTGAAAATTTATAGCTTTCCATCAATGACCGGGTTTCCCTC